CTATATGGGAATATCATTTCAGGTCAAGGTAGCATGCCACCTCCAAGGACGGACATAGCTTGGGAGGCTAGATGCAAGCAGATTTTTGCTGTTTAGTTTCTTTTGATATATTACATGTATATTCAAGCCAAGGGCTTAATGTGTAGATGAGTTAGTACTCTTTTGTTGTAACCAAGTGTTAACTTGGAAAGCTGTAAGCCCGTAGGACATCTTGCTTTTGTTGTTAACATGTAATACTTTTGTAATGAAACGCTGATGAATAGAAGAACGTGGATATTTCATATGTCAATGAATGTTTTATTTGTTGGGTTTAATGTTATTATTTTGAGGGCGTTACACTAGCGATGTTGTATGGGACGGAGTGTTGGAAAACCAAGAAACAACATATAGATAAGATGAATATAGCTGAGATAAGGATGCTAGGGTGGATGTGTGGCAAGACTAGACAAGACAGAATTAGGAATGAGTGTATTCGGGAATGAGTAGGAGTAGCACCGATAGAAGATAAGTTGAGAGAGAATCGATTGAGATGGTTTCATCATATTCAACGGAGACTAACAAAGGTGGTAGTGAAGAGATGCAATGCTGTAACGGTCACTACAACAAGTTGGGTCTTGAATGACGAAATTTTTTTGTCTCTAAAGAGCTAATTTCGTCACTATAGATATTTGTGAGGAAATATTTTCGTCACCGGTTTCGTCATTGAATGTTTGTCTCACAGCTATTTCTTCTGGTGGGTAGAGTGCCCTTCTAGCAAGTACGTTGACGACGCACTACAACAAGTTGGGTCTTGAATGACGAAATTTTTTTGTCTCTAAAGAGCTAATTTCGTCACTATAGATATTTGTGAGGAAATATTTTTGTCACCGTCATTGAATGTTTGTCACTAAAAACCAACGTGACGAAAAATAATTTCGTTATCAATGAAATTACTTCAGTGACGAAATTTTTTGTCACCAATAAAACAACATTTTGTCACCAAAAATTCTCATTTTCGTCACCAAATAGTTATTCAGTACCATATTTATGACTTTAGTTAACGAATAAATTTGTCACGCATGTTGATCATTGATGAGGAAATAATTTCGTCACAATAAGATGTAAAGATGACGAAATTTTTCGTCTTCAAAAGTCATAATTTTTTGTCACCAATAAAACAAAATTTTGTTGCAAAAAATTCTTATTTTCGTCACCAAATAATTGTTCAGTACCATATTTATAACTTTAGTTGACGAATAAATTTGTCACGCATGTTGATCATTGATGAGGAAATAATTGTCACAATAAGATGTAAAGGTGACGAAATTTTTTGTCTTCAAAAGTCACACATGGGTGATGAAATATATTTCGTCATAAATATATATACACGTGACAAAATTTTTAGTCACCAAAGAACAAAATAAATAAAAACTTTCATATATAAACTACAATAAATTTTGTCACAAAATTTTTTTATTAGTGACGAATAATCACTTTGTCATAATAACAAGTACAAATGACAAAACAAATTCGTCACTAAACTTGTTCCATATTTTATATTCAATTTAAATTATTATTTCACAAATATCCCTGCTCAGATCCCAATAGCCTTTTAATTGTACTAAGAAATCCACTAGCTATTATACAGCACTCCACAAAAAAATTCACTAAACAATTTATTTTATAAATCAAAATATATCCATCAAACAAATAACCCTGTTCATCTACTTTTTGCAGATATTATGCACAATTCACCCCCTCCATACACGTGTATGGAGGGATTTGCACCTTGTTTTAGCTTGCTTAGGAAGTTTTGGACCTACTGTTTACTGCTATGCTAATGGATGCACTCAATCTTGATTTGCAACTACAACTAAGTATCAGTTCAGGAAATAAATAAATAATTCAACACTTGATCTTGATTTGCAAATATGCTTCCAAACGTCATCAAAAACCAATCTGCAAAGAAAATAAATAAGGAAGACATTAATGTATTATTAATTACATCTAAAATCATATTTAAATAATTTTATTTTATAAACCAATTTAATAGAAATGCATATAACAATCCAAAACTTCAAAGAGTTGAAGTAATCCTTAATGATAAGCAACACAGATAACAGAAAATGGCAAAAGATTGCAAGAATACCATGTATCACTAGCACTAATGCCAACAAGAACCAAAGAGAATCACATGACGTGTTCACAACCTAATCAATCCATAGTTTTTATAGGAGTTACCATTTCATTTAAATCTAAATATGTTCCTATTTTATTTTGAACTTCAACGAGGTAAAAGTTCAAAACACACATGCAAGCAAACATAAAAACAAAAACAAATACACACGAATAGATATTGAAATAAAAACACAATTAGATCTCCAAACGTTTTGGGTTAATTATATTTTATATGGTTTTGTCCAAAAACACTTTACTTTCTTCATGTTTAAAAATATACACATAATCCTCTTGAAATTTGGAGTAAAGTACAAACGTTGCAAATTCTGGTTAAGTTAACCATGCGTTAACACACTAAATTGAGCGTGTGTTAAGAAATATATATAATGATACTTTTGCCCCTTTTTCAATTTGCCTTTTTCTATTATTTTCTTCTTCATTCCCTCTCCCTCCTCCTCCTTTCTACAGCAGCAGACCCACTCGCCATTCCCCTTCTCATTTCCTCCTATATTTCACATGCCACCACCAACCAATAGCCTCATGGACCACCATGGCTATCAACCACCTCTAAAACAAAACCCAGTGTCCACTTCCCCAAACACCTAGGTTGGGTGACTTTGCAAGACACAGTCCACCAGGACACCACCATGCATGGCCAAACCCAACCCTAACACCTAGTGGCACTACAAGAAAATACATTTTTGGCGACCATTTTTGGCTACCAAAACAAATTTAGTCGCCAAAAGTGTGGGAATTGGCTACCAAAATTAATTTTGGTCGGCAAAAGTCAACTTTTTAGCTACTAATTTTTTTTAGTAGGGGAATGTTGATTATTGGCGACTAAAAAAAATTTCGTAGCTAAAAATATTACAATTGGCGACTAAAAAAATTTTTAGTAGCTAAACATATCACAATTGGCGACTAAAATAAATTTTAGTAGCCGTAGAGCTACTTTTAGCTACTAAATTATTTAGTAGCCGAATGAATTTTAAAAATTTTATTTTTTATCTTTAGCGACCAAAATTTTGGTCGCCAATAGTTTATTTTCAGCGACCATTGGAAGGTTTAGTCGCTGTAGGTAGAGATTTGGCTACCAAAATCTTTAGTCGCCGATTGTAAAATAAAAAATTATTTTTTACCTTTGGCCAAAAGTTGATTTTCAGCGACGAAAAATAATGTTAGTCGCCGTAGGTGTACATTTGGCTACTAAAATCTTTGGTCGGCAAATGTAAAATAAAAAATTAATTTTTACCTTTTGGCGACTAAAATTTTTGTCGCCAAAAGTTATTTTCAGCGACGAATAATAATGTTAGTCGCCAAAAAATTAAAATAATTGGGGGGAAATAAAGCGCCCAAATCTTCAACACATTTCATTCTCTCTCTCACTCTGACCCTTGGAGACTCCCCAACGAAGCTAACCCTCCAAAACCCATCTCCGATTTTCACTCTCCTTGGTCCCAACTGTAAATTTTTTGTCTAGAATGGACTTGGAAGAAGAGTACGATCCAAGCTACAACGATGAAGATGAAGGTGAGATCACTCAAGAAGACGAAGATGAGATCACAAAGCGACATCATTTTCCCCTATTCTTCCCCGTCTCACTCTGTTCACTATTTCTAGGTCTCTCTCTCCTCTGCTCTCATCTGTAACTTTGTCTCAATCTCTCGCGCATTTCCTGCCTCCCTTTACTCTCTCTCCCTCCGTCAATTCACAACTCTCCTTCGGTGCCCTAACCCTACGCCGGTAGCCTTTCTCTCCACTCTCCTTCTGTGCTCCGAGCCAACGTTGCAAGCCGAAATTGAAGGCCAATCATTGAATTTGAAGGTAATGCATCACTCTCTCTCACACTCTCTCTGTCTCTCTCACCTTCACCATTGTTGACATTGATAACCTTTGTGTTGTTTGTATTGTTTTTCTATGCCCATCAGTTGTTCGATGAAATGCCTAAGCAAAAAATCAATAGTGGAAAATCATTGAACCCCTCACATATTATACTTGCACCCAATTTCTGTCTCCACTAAATATACATTCAATTTTTTCATTTCCCTTTTGTTATATTTCTGAATTTTCGGTAGTGGGAGCTCACCCAAAATTTTGGGAATTGAAAACTTTGTGAGAGTTGAATTTGGTTATGAATAATATTAGTATTTACATTTGTCATTTATCTTTGTTTTTGATGTTGGCTTTTTTATTAACTAGTTCCAATGTCCACAAATAAACACTTATTGTTGACTTTTATTCGTATATATATATTTTTTAATAGAAGAAGCTTCTGATCAAAGTTTTCATTCTCTCTTTTTCTTTTTTGTTTTATTTTTCCTTTTGTGAATGGTTGATGTAAGTGCTTGAAGGTTTCAGACTTTTGAGTTGTATGGATTCTTAAAAAGTGAATATGATTCATAGTTTCAATTTCTTCTCTAACTTGGTAAATTTTTTTTTTTTTTTCATCAAATGCATATGCCCCCAGGTTCTGTTTTACAAATGAGGCTCTGGTTCCTGTTTATGCAACCAACTGGTCTGAGTAAGAGACTATATACACACAAAAGATATTTAATTCATTTCACTTTGTTCCAACTCTCTCCACTAGTCAATGTAGATGATAAATGTACAAATGAAATTTCTCATTTTGTTGTTATGAACAACAGGTGGTTAGACGAACAAAAAAAACTGGCAAAAGTCTCCCCTGAATCTCCTGTGTGAGTAATGCTGCCACTGTTGCTTAATAATATGCGTGAATCTCTTTTTAACCCTAGGAAGCTCAAGGAAGAATTTTATACGCATGTTTGTGAACTTGTATCTAATTCCAGCGTACATTGTGCATTTAAATTGCATCTTTACTCATCATCATCCAAGTTATGATCTTCATGTTTGTTAGTAGTATTCATGTGCATCAACTTTGAGACATTGTCTATCACCAGGAAATTTGGATCAATGAGATCGCTCAAAACTATTAACATTTGGGACAAAAGTCTCACAAACTTGTGCCTATGGATTGGATTAACAATGCAGTGATTCAGTGATTCCTTTTAATGTCCAGATCGAGTAGATAAATTGTCCACTGTTAGTACTCTTTTGTTCTTGTGATGTAGATAAATTGTCCTCACTCCTTGCCTGACAAGCTATCCTTTTAGAAGTCCACATAGTGCAAAGAAAACAATTAAGTGGTACAAAAATGTTCTCTTCTAAATTTATTGGTCCAGATTGAGTAAATTTATTTCATTTGGGTTCAAATACATAGTTCTTAAAATTCCTACTACTTAACAATTTTGATCTTACTACTTAACAAATAACAGTGACAACTACTTGAGGTTGGCTGCATCTTGCATGATGTTTCTTCTATATTCAAGCCTTGTAGGACACATTTTTATTTATTTATTACAACCTTGTTGTTTTAACGAGGATCTATCTTGTAGGATCTATTTATTACACATTTTATAGGCACCAAAGTAATGAATTTTATTTAATCAATTATGTATAAATTTAAGCTGTATTCAACTTAAATTTTCTCTTCTTTGTTGCAGGGGTATTCAATTATATAATCAATTATGTATAAAGTTCATCTGTTTAATTGTATTCTTGTTTTTCTAATCTTCATTGAATAAATTACATTGCTGTGAACCTTCTTATTTTTATATGGTTGTGCTATTCAATATTTGTTGCCTTATTCCATTTTTTGGTGATTTTTAAATTTTATTGGAAAAGGATTAGTAAAGATACTTTTAAAATTGATGGGTTTGTTCTATTCGTGTTGCACAGGAGGGCACTACCTTTGAGGGTGCCCTTGATTGGCTATGCTTGAATTTGCCCGGGAATGAGCTTCCATTGAAGTTTTCTACTGGCACTTCTCTCTATTCAAATGAAGGTATTCTTAAGCAATTCTTTTCAATGGGAAATTTATTATACTGATAGCTACATGTTCATGGCAATCTATTGTGGGGACATGGAGAATTGTGCTTTAACATAAGTTGTGACATCCTGCTTAATCCAATCATGCTAGGAGGTGCTGTTAGCATCATATCAACTGCACGGGAAGATTGGAGTCCTGTGGTGGATTCGTCTGATAAGAATGAGGAGGAAACACCTAAAATTTCTGTTAGAATTAAGGGACGTTCAGATGATGATACTCTAAATTCTTTCCAGCGATCACAAGCAGATTGGATCCGGCAATATGTGGAACAACAAGAAGAGGTACCCAGAATCCTTTGGCAAAATTCTCCTCACTCATTGTCAGCTTGTACAAGGTCATATAAACCAGCTTCACAAGTCTTTTCAGTTGGCTGTCCAAAAAATAATATGACTAAAGTTGAATTTTAGTGTGTATAAGAGTTTCTGAATATTATCTATTTTATTGAGTTGTAATTTAATTGAAGATGAAGAAAGAAAGGTTCAAGCCCTTATCTTAATTAGTTCATTACTTAAATTTCTACATATCCAACCACAAGGTTGGGAACACTCCAACTCAAATCAGGAGTGGGGTAGTTTTGTGGGCTAAACTTATTTATTATTTATGAGCAGGAGAACTAGGAGCTTATGAAACTCCTTTTGAATAACTTTGTTAGGACCCCTTTTCTTTGTCTGTTATGTTATGAGATGATAAGAGCACCAAAATTTTAACAAGTTCAGAGTTGCTATTTTATTCCTTGACTGTTTCATATTCTTCTGGATTTTCATTGTATTTGTGCGGAAATGCCAAGACATGCTGTTTTTGTTGCTTGGAAAATTTCTAATTATATATTAGCACAAAGAGCTTGCATTGACAATAGTCAACACTATGAAGGAATATGTTATGGTTCTCTGTCATTTGCAGGATGCTTCCGAAAGTTGGGAAGATGATGCAGTTGATAAGGTAATTTCAGTTTTTATTTATTTATTTATTTATATTTTTTTTATGGTACATAAAGTAATTATGTGTATTGTATTTTTTGGAGGAACATTAATCATTGGTTTACATTTTTGAGACTTTAGTGTCTCCCTCTTATTAATTAGTCATGCAGGCAAATATTCTGTGTAAGAGAGTTTCCTGATTGGGTGCAAGGAGGTTTAATTTTTGTTTTGTATGCGAGTCTAGATAATCCTGAATCATGTGTGCTGAACTCAAATGCCAAGTTTCTTTTGAGTAAGGTGCAGGGGGTTATTTGTTTAAGCGTAATAATTTGGGATGCTTATTTATTAATAGTCCTGCTTTCCTATTGGATCGTAGACCTATAACATGTCAGCTGAAAATATTCATTTGAGACTTCTGCAATTCCCAAAGAAATTACTTTAGATTCTATTTTCTTTGATTCTTTTCGCACCTCAGTCACTAATCTAGGTTTAGATTGTTAGAATTATTGAAAGAATAACAACAATTCTTAACTCCTTGTCCATGTTTGTTTGTTGGGATGGAATTAGGGGGATGAGGGGGCCGATTAATAATGTCGGTCCCAAATGTTATTTTTTGGGTATACCATATGACATTTAGTGGATTTGTTATATATTCATGGAATTATTGTATTATGGTACTTCCAGTGAAATTTTTAGTTGTGTAATGCTATATGCTATTCTTAGGTGATAATATGTATCACCATAAGGTATATTATGTTGTTGGAAAGTACTGTTATTCCGAATTGGAATTAATCCAAAATGGAATTGGAATTAATCCAAAATTCTAAGTGATAATTCATCCTTGCTATGACCTGCCCTTTGAATGGTCCGAATACATTCATATTTGGCAAATATTAAAATTCAAAGGCTGGTTGGTGTTTTGAGTAATGTTGATTGTGCTGTATTCATGATCTTAACTCTGTTTAGAAGAGAAAACCAAATGTTTTGTTGGTGTAGCATTTCTTTATGTATCTGTAATGCTTGTTTTCATACTGAAAGTTGAGTTAGCTTTCTGTATGCGGGTAAAGTATTAGAATTTGCCTGAGAATATGTATTCATTGGTTACTTTATGATCTTTTGCTCAGACTCGAAGGACTTATTAGCAAATAGATAATAGGTTACATTACGTGTGTATGAGAAAATTGAACTGTGGCATTCTTTTAAAAATGCATATGTTAAACACGGATGATAGTCTGTATTTGTAAGTATTATGAGGCATGTGATTGATTGATGGCTCACTGATCAAAAAATTGTAATTTCAGGTCGGTACTCTAACTGGAGCAGAGGCATCACTAGGTTTAGTACCGCTGTTGCATTCGAGGAACCAATCACACCGCCTGTTAAACTTTTTCAGGAAAGATCACGAATAATGTTGCGGTTTGCTGATTTGCTTGAGAAGCACAGTGATCATATTGCGGCTCTTGAAACTTGGGATAATGGGAACAGGCTGCAAATGAAGAAATACCATTGGTGTGGTAAATGGTAGCTAATTTGGCATGGTAGAAATTAGCATATATGCTAATTTAGGTTGTGGTACATATGTCCTTTTTGTTAATTAATTTGGTTAGTCCTGTAGTATGTATGAAATGAAATTATTGACGTTGGATTAGACTTGGTTCGTATGGAATTTGTATTATATATAGAATTGGACGTTCAATATTAATGTTTTGGATGGTTGGAGCTAAAATGTGTGCACATTGTTGAATGCTTGGTAACATATTTAGTGTTGATGGATTATATTGTTTATACAGGGTACAGGTTACAAGGTTGTATTCATAATGGATACAGGTTGTTTAGAAATTTAAAAAAAAAAAAAAAAAATACGTTAAAGCTTTTGGCTACCAATATTTTGGTAGCCAAATATGTAATCAAATGTATTGGTGACTAATAATTTAGTAGCAAAACATAACCCAAAAAGTTTTGGCGACCAAATAATTAGTAGCTAAAACAATTGAGAATGAGAGAAAGAAACAATTGGCCACTAAATTTTTAGTCACGGAATACACCTTTTGCCGACTAAATAATGTTTCGTAGCTAAAAGTGTACTTTCGGCGACTAATTATTTAGTAGCTAAAGGTGACACCTTTCCCGACCACAACAACTTAGTAGCCAAAAAGCCTCATTCGGCGACTAAAGGTTTAGTGGCGGAAACATAACATTTGCCGACTAAACTAATTTTAGTAGCCAAATGTGGTCACTTTCGGCGACCAAACGAAATTTAGTAGCCAATACTATCGCCGACAGGGCAAAGGCGACGACCTTGGCGACCAAATATTTTAGTCGCTATATCGTTTCAGCGACTAAATATTGGACTTTTGGCGACCAATATTTTGGTAGCTAAAAGTGACATTTCTTGTAGTGTAGGTTTGTAGCATGACTCTATTATTAATGGGAAAATAACACAATAGAGCAAGTTTTCAAAAAAAAAAATATCAAACTAATAGAAAATTTTATACATATTAATAACTAATTTTGTAAATTTTTCTATGAATTTGTACTTTTTTTTTCCAGACTTTACTAACATGTAATAATCCCATTATTAATTGTAATCAGCTTGTTTGGTTATGGTTTTCAAAAATAATTTTCAGAAAATTTTATTTTTTTTATTTTTTGTATTTTAATATTTTAAATGAATTTTTTTAATATTTTAAGCAATTTTTTTTAAAAAAAATCTTAAAAAATACACTAAATACCAAAAAATACAACAACAAAAAAAAGAAAAAGAAAATCAGTACATTTTTTTATATTTTTGTGTATTTATTAATTTTTTAAAATAATTTTTCACAAATATTTTACTATTTAGATACATTTAAGTGAGGTACATCTAAAAAAATAAAAAAATTATTTAAAATTTAAAAAATATTCAATAAAAACAAAAAAATTCGTTTTTAAACAAACCGAATTCAGAAAACTGAACCAAACACACTAATTATAATTTATCTTTATTAATTTATTTAGTAATATCAAATGAAAGATCATGTAGTAGTTAATAACTTATGCTATTGCCAAGCCTAGTTCAAGTGATTGTATTTCTAATTCAAGTTTATGAAGCACCTTAACTATATCGACTCATAAGGCTTACATGATTATATTTTGAGATTGTGAAGCCTATCACAATGTATTTTGATTATTTAAATTTTTGATTAGATAATTGTAACTATATCATCAGATTAAGTTTCGAATATTGATATAGGTCACATGGTGAGATCCACCAAAGCTTAACCCTTTGTATTTGAATACAATCTAATGAACCCTTTGTATTTGATAACAATCTAATGAATACTTCACATGATAGGAGAGGTTTCTCTTGAGTCCACATCTAGATTTAAAAGGATTGTTTGGCCTGTGAGCCTCATTACGGATCCCGTTTAATTATTCAAATAGTTCATTTTATCGGGCGTAATGTGTATATCATTTATAAAAAAAAAAAATATTAAGTTGATTCGATAATAGTAACTCTTTTATTTATTGCATTTGTACCCAAAAAAATAGATGGTTTGTTCTAAAACATATTGACTGATAATTTTTTTTGGAGACAAACTCTATAAAATGAAGAGGTACAAATATCAAATTAGCCTGAATTTTTTTATGAATGATATACACGCTAAACCTGATAAAATGAATAATTTAAATTATTAAAACGAGACTCATAATAAGGCCTCATTTGGCAAGTGACTTTTAGCTAAAAAGTAAAAAATTATTAAAAAAATAAAAAAGCCAACAACCCATACGAAAAAATCAAAAATTCTCTTTCCTCTTTACTTTTTGTACATCTTTCGTAAAAGCTAAAAAATATCCAAATATACTAATTTTTTTTATATCACATTTTAGTCAAAAAACTAAAATTAATAAAAAAACCTGTTCCCAAACAAGATCTAAATCTCATAAGCCAAAATAGTCCTCTGCAATTCAAATAAGCCTGCAAAGAAGCCATTCCCTTGCATAATACTAATCACACATATCATGCGCACACAAATTATTGGTGTCACCGCTTTCAGTAAAAAGATGGGATCTGTTGGATAATCTGATTAGTGAATATTGGTGTTTATACTTTCTATGCAAAAGTTAAAATCTATTAAATAATTTGATTAGTGTCAATATGAGTTGCTACATACATTTTAATTCAAGAGGAGATCATTACTTTTAAGCATCCTACTTAATAATAATTCTAAAGATTGTCAACAAGGAAACACAAAATGTCGACAAATGGATTCTAACATAGAGGAGTGAACATATATTCAAACAAAAATTTTAAAATGAAGCGTAAACTACAAATCAATTTTTACAGACACAAAATGTAAAAAATAGCATAATATATATATATAATATATATATATATATATATATATATATATATATGTGTTCTTCTATACTCATATTGAGTTATAAAAGATTAATTGTAAGACAATCTATCAACACTAATTG